TGTGAGTTCGAGACCAGCCTGGTCTACAAGAGCTAGTTCCAGGACAGGCTCCAAAACCACAGAGAAACCCTGTCTCGAAAAACAAAAAACAAAAAAAAAAAAAAAAAAAAGAAGCAGTTGCTGATTAAAAGAAAATAAAAAAGTACCCAAGGCAGAAGGAAGACTAGCTGCAGACCACAGAGATAAAACTGGCCCTCCACCTATTCTTGTCAATAAAGTTTTATTGAAACACAGTCCATACATTTGTTTACATACCATAGCTGTTCTTATGACTTAACAGATCCACAAAACAGGGAAGATTTACTATCTGGTCCTTTTCAGAAGAAAGCTCTCTTGTGGGTAACGAGTTACCCTCTGGAAGTTCATTCTGTAATGCCTAAAGAGACTGCCACACCCTTCAGAAACTCCTCCACAGAGATCCGGAAAACAGCAGGATTAGTGCCATTTGTGGCCATGGGAAGGAGAAACAGTTGGTAGCTCTAAGAAGTGGTAAGACATGTAGGAAACTGACCCCATGGACCCCAGAAAAAGAAAGAAGTCAAGAATACAGAATGTCCATAAAGTTCTTGCCGCCTTCAAGAGCTCTCTTTCCTAATTATAAAGTAAACAGGGCTGAGGCTATAGCTCAGAGGTCTAGCGCACGCGAGGGCCACGGGCATATTCAATAATACCTAAACATAAAGGATGACAAAGGAACACGGCATCATCATGAGCATTTAAAACTTTCTATAAGAAGTAGAGAGTGGCAAAGGAGATGGTGCCCATCCCGCTTCTCAGGGACACCCATGTGAGCTCAGAGCACCCACACATTTAAGCTTTGCCAACCACACATGTCGGTGCCTTGCCATTCCCTTGAGGAGCAGGACATGCTTTGTGGACACATGATAAGGGCATGGAGCCAGTGCCTGCGTCTCACAAGTAGGGGCTCACTCTGTAGACCAGGCTGCTCTCAAACTCATAGGCTTCCTCCTGTCTCCCTTTACAGTGCTGGGATTAAAGGCATGCATCACCAGGCCTGGCCCTGTTTATTGACATAGAGCCTTGATCCCTGGCCCTGGCTGGCCTGGATCTCCACTCATAGTTCAGGCTGAACTTGAACTTACTGTAATCCTCCTGTCTCGGCCTGCAGAGTGCTAGAATTGCAAGTGTGTGCCACCACATTCAGCTCCTCAAATCTCCTATACAAATAATCATTGCTGTGCTCTGTGAGAGATTTTGAATCTTTCCAGGCTCCATTTCTGAAAAGCAGAACGTGGCTGGAGCATGGGCCCGCTGTCCCAGCTATGTGGGAAGTAGGGCCATGAGTTCAAGGATTGCCTACACCACAGAATGAGTTCAAAGCCAGTCTTGGGAATTTAGCAAGCCCCTGCCTCAACAAAAGTCTGGGAGGGAGAGTGCTTACCTCCTTGATAACAGGTACCTGTGCGCTTTGCCCTCAGGTAAGCTGAGACATAAGAAAAAACATTTTGGAAAGTTTACTCCAACAATGATGCATTAATTATGATGCTCAGGGCTTGACAAGATGGCCAAAGGCACTTGTCAACAAGCCTCACGACCTGAGTTCAATCCCCAAGACCCATATAGTAGGGGAAAAGGAGAAAACTGACTCTTTAAAGTTGCCCTTTAGCCAAGTGGTGATGGCACATGCCTTTAATCCTAGCACTCTGGAGGCAGAGGCAGGCGGATCTCTGTAAGTTCAAGGCCAGTCTGGTCTACAGAGCTAGTTCCCAGACAGCCAAAGCTACAGAAAAACCCTGTCTCGAACCCCCTCCCCAAAAAGGTTACCCTTTGACCTGTTCTCTCCCTCCCTCCCTCCCTCCCTCCCTCCCTCTCTCTTTCTCTCTCTCTCTCTCTCTCTCTCTCTCTCTCTCTCTCACACACACACACACACACACACACAGTAATGAAAATTAGTAAATCAAGAAGCTTCAAGCCAGTGAGGTTCAGGAGTCCTGCTGAGGGTACTCAAAAGACTCAAAAGGAAAACAGAGATCTGATTGGTTTGGAAGATTCTTAGTTTTTGATTATAACTGCATTGGCTACTTCTGATTGGCTGAGTGCGAGTTCAGTCTGTCTTTAGGTAGTTCCAAGAAGTGACTGAAACTTTGCTTATGTCTGTTTGCAAATCAAGCAGGCCTGTCTGTCTATAACCACCTAGCTGTACGCTCATGACCCTTCAGTCTGTCTCCTTCTAAATCTGCTTTAACAAGCAGAGATGTGATTTTTAGTGCCTGCTTTGTACTCCACCAAGGGACAGATCTTTCTGGTGTGGGACTTCTGTTTCCCCAAATGTTCTCTCATGTTGAGGTCCTTGAGGGTCCATTCCTAGAGTCACCAAACTGCTCACTGTGGATGCTGGTCTCGCAGGTGTCAGGTGCAGGAGGATGTGGTTTCACGGTCTCCACACAGAAAGCATGAACTGGACTCCACTTGGCAGCGTGTGCACCTCTAGAAAGCATGTCTTCTGCTCAGTGGGCCTTGATAGGGCTCAAAGGCTGCTGCCTTTGTCTCCCGCCACGTAAACTGGCTGGGGCGGAGCTGGATGGCAGGGCACTTTCCGGGACAGAACGGTCACGATTCCTTTCCATGTCGCTACATCACAGCCTAGATGTGAGTCCTGTTGCTACAGCTTATCTGTCTACTCTGGTGGGCTCAGCTGTGGACCTTAGCGTTGGCTTCCTCAGGCTGTTGAAAGATCCTGTCCCGATTCACCATGGAGTCTCAGGTCTGTCTGTCTGTCTGCCTGCCTTGTTTTATGTGTTTGCTTTACTTTAAACATTATTTTGTTTTATATATTTATTTTGTGTGTGTATATGTGCATATACATGTAGTAGGAAACCACTTGACCCAGACTCCCAAAAGAACCACACAGAAACTGTATTAATTAAGTCACTGCTTGGCCCATTAGCTCTAGCTTCTTATTGGCTAACTCTTACATCTTAATTTAACCCATTTCTATTAATCTGTGTATCGCCATGAGGCTGTGGCTTACCAGATAAAGTTCTGGTGGAGCTACATGGCTTCTCTCTGACTCCGCCTCCTTTCTCCCAGCATTCAGTTTAGCCCCCACCCCCACCCCGCGCCTAGCTCTACTCTACCCTATCAAGCCAAGCCAGTTTCTTTATTTGCCAGTGGTATTCACAGCATACAGAGGGGAATCCCACATCATACATATTCATGCCATGGTGTGTGTGTGAGAGAGAGAGAGAGAGAGACAGACAGACAGAAATCACCTTTCAGGAGTCTGTTCTACGAGGTAGATTCCAGTTCTTGAGCTCAGGTTATTGGGGTTTTGTTGATTGCCTTGGGTGGGCTACTCAGTCTAGGGGTTGTAACCCACCCTGCAATCAGTTATTCCAGGGTCACGGAGAGGCACTACCTGGAAGATATGGGCTAGGAAAGCGGAATGAGGCTAAGCGAGAATTCTTGTCAAAGCCTCCCTTTATTAGAGACGGGGTACAACTTTTATAGGGTAAAGAGTTGGGGGGTGGGCGCAGGGGCCTGGGCTCTTGCCACGTGGTTCATGTTGGTCACATGGTCCGAGTTGGTCACGTAGGCAGGAGGTTGTCTTCGGTCAGGTCACTGTAGGCCAAGAAGTCACTGAGTTGACACATCTAGATCCCTAGATAGTTTGGAATGTGGGGTGGGTTCCGCTAACAGATAGCTCTCATTAACAGCCAATTTGGGTGTGGGGTAGGCTCTGTCAATAGAACTATTCCTAACACAATTAAGGGTGTGGGGTTCTCTGCAGACTCCCCAGGGTGATGGTTCCTGTAATGATTTTAGGAGGAAATTGGCTCCTGACAGGGTTTGGTGGCAGGCAACTTTATAAATGGTCCTATTTTGTTTTTTTGAGATGAGCTATGGGACCCTGGTTGGCCTGCTATTCATTATATTATCCGGGCTGGGCTCAGCCTCTCAAGTGCTGGGATGACAGGCATGAACTACCATACCTGCCTCTTATCTTATTTTATTGGGCTGGGTCTTCTCATTTTGTAGCTCAGGCTGACCGCAAACCCTTGTTCTTATTGTCAGCTTTTGAGTGCTGGGGTTATAGGCTATAACACCTTGTCCTGCTGGCTTTCATTTTTAAACAATCTACGTGCGAGGCATTGTATGCTTTTCTCTATATGGTTCTCGAGCCTGGCCCTGTCAAACCGCAGGACAGACCCTGGAGCTTAATCCCCTCCTCTTCTTCCTGATCTGTCAGCCTGTCTACCCGTCACTCCTGATGTCACTGTCACTTCTGCCTGACTCTACAACCCACCTTGGAGTGACACGTTTACTTCAGGCATGAGGTCATGGTAATTGTTTACTGTCTGGCCTCACCATCCTATTGAGAAGAAAAGCATCCTATTGCCGAGGAGGAGGATCCTGAGGCCAAGCAGAGCTATAGAGGTGGAGGTCCACACGCACACATATACACATACACACACATGCACATACACACACAAACACATGTGCTCACACACACGCACGCATACACATACACATACACACATATACAAATACACACATATACACATACACGTACACATAAACACACTCACATGCACGTACACACATGCACACATACAAACACATGTACTCACATGCATACACACGCAGGCACACACACACTCACACAGCATGAAAGCTATTCTCTGCACCAGCCCCAGAGAGATGGGTACTTTGTGGTTCCCACCCCTCTGCCTCCCATTTTCTGCCTTGAATGGAATTGAGACCTGTCTTCCTTTTCAGCCTCCCAAGGCAGGGTTCTTTCTGACCAGCACTCTTTCTCCGAAGTCTCACCCAGAGGTCCCCTCACCTGTAAGTTCCCATACCTTCCTTGTATTTCCAAGAGTGCTATCAGGCCAAGCAGGTCACTGTCACACTGCCCACCCAACTTGAATCAGATTTGTCACCAAAACTGTCACAAACAAGGGGGTGTGGGGTGTCACGTGACCAGCCTGAGTAACCACATTCTCACTTCCTTCTTCCACACCCTGCCGTTGGGGGTTGTCCGATTGGGACTGCAAGTGTCTGGCAGTGTGGGCTGGGGCCTTGTCATTGAGGCAGAGTTGCTTCTGGGCCCCGAGGCAGCTGCCCCATGCTTTGCTGAGCAGGTAAGTACTGATTTGCAAAACTGGGGAGTGGCTGGTGGCCCAAGGGATAAGAAGCTTGCCTTTCCATTGCTAGCACACAGGGCAGAACCAGGAGCCCTTCTGAGTGGCACTGAGGCTCTGGACCGTGGTCTCCATAGAGACTGGATCTTCTCCAGCCTTAGCTGTGGGTCTCCCCTGATACTCGCTCTCTGGGTGCCAGGCTATGGCTGCTGCCTTATAGTCACTGAATGGAGGTTCAGAGAAGTCTGGGCCCTCTCCCTAGAAACGATCCTACCCCTCTTTTCATGAGTGGGAAACTTAAGGCCAGTGCTAAGACTGAGCCTAGAGGAGTCCAGAAAAGACAAGAGTGCGGTCTGTCTTGAGGTTGTTAAAGCATGAGAATATTCTTTGGAATTCTCTCTCCTCTCTCTTTCAAATTAGATGTGGTTTCCGTTGGTTCATTAGGCTGACCTGGAACTCTGTGCAGCCCAGGCTATCCTCTGGCCTTGGCCTAGTGCTGGGGTTGCGGGCATACACCGCCATACCAGCCTTCTTTGATTATTTTAAATTTTTATTTGCATATTACTTTGTGTGGGGGGGTGTGCCTATGAACTTGTGTGCACGAACAGCCCAGGAGTGTCATCGGCATGTGTGGAGGTCAGACAATAGCTTGAGGAAGTTGGTTCTCTCCTTGCCCTGTGGGTTCTGGGAATTGGACCCAGGTCAGTGGACGTTCCTAGCAGGCCCTTTTGCCCTTGGAGTCATCTAACCCACCCAGATCTTTTTTGCTTTTTTTTTTTTTTAAATCAGATTGAGAAAACAAAACTTGTTCATGGGAAATTGTTTTTAAATTAGTCTAAATTTTAAAAAATGTTATGTGTATGGGTATTTTGATTGCATGTATGTCTGCACATCATATGTTTACGGTGCCTTCATAGGCCAGAAGACAATGTTGGATCCCTTGGAAGCCTCTGTGTGGGTGCTGGAGATCAAACCGGGTGCTCTGGAAAAGCAGCTAGTGCTCTCTAATCCTGCTGAGCCATCTCTCCAGGCTCAGTGTTTTGAGACAATCTTGTCTAGTCCAGGCTGGCCTCAAATCTCCTACATAGCCACGGAGTATCTTAAATTCTGTACCTCCAGTTTCAAGTGCTGTGATTACAGGCATGTTCCTCTACCACACCCGGTTCCTTGATGCTGGAATCAAAACCAGAGCTTCAGGCAAGTTAGGCAAGTGTATTGCCCACTGGAGACTGGCAGGGGCTGAAGACCAAGCAGAGCCCAGCCCCCACACCTACAGATCTGTGTTGTGCTTTGCTGAATGATGTTGGGTTTGAGTCCAGGCCTTTTGTCAAGCTTGGCCAGTGCTTTACCACTGAGCATCCTCAGCCCTTCACCTCTAGATAGAAATTGGTTCCTTTGTCTGACAACGCGGTTTTTTGCTGGCCTCATTTTTACTTCTTTTCCTGGAACTAGGTTCTATCTACAAGGGTCTGACCTCTCGGTGGCCAAGGGTGAGGGAGGTAGCTCTTCTGGGTGCCTCTGGTGGTACCACACCCTGTGAGGATGTTCCTTCTCACCATATTGGCCAGCAGCCAGAGAACTGAAACTGAGGAAGAAAGGGACTGGGTCACCCTGCCAAGTTCTCCAGAAAATCTGGGTTGGATCCCTGTTGGGTCACCGGAGGGGCTTTGGTGCTTTGGGGTCACCTGAGTGTTCCGATGGATGGTGCTGCTGTTTATAGGTGGGGAAACCAGGCTCTGAGGGAGAGATGACAGCCACACGTGATGTCATGGTCAAGAAGGCCTATGGCTGCAGGACCCTGGACCTGTGGTGACCATATCTGTCAGTCCCCTTTGCTGCAGGAAGTGATGCACTGGACAGACAGATTGGCCGGCTAGGACATGTGCTGTTTGTGCCACTTGAGAAAGCCAGGGGAAGCTCTCTTTGAACTTGCGCTAAATCTCACAGCTAATCTGTAGCTGGCCAGTGCCCTGGGGTTCCAACAAGTCGTGCTTAGTTCCTGGGGTTAAGGAGCCCCCACGTTATCTAAAGTTATGCTTGTGGCCTTGCAAGGGCCCACAGGATATTAATTAGACACACAGGGTGTTTACTAGTAAAGAGTCACAGGAGCAGGAGTGAAGGCGCACGCCCTTAATTTCAGCATTTTCTGGAAGCAGAGGCAGGCAGACCTCTATGAGTTTGCAGCCTGGGCCACATAGTCTCAGAATGAATGAATGAATGAATGAATGATAGGGGCTGAGTGTCAAGGCACACAGCTATAATCTCAGTACTCAGGAGGCAGAGGCAGGAGACTCAGTAATTCAAGGTCATTTTTGGCTACAGAGTTGTAGGTCAGCCTGGGCTACATGAGACTGCTTCAGAACAAACAAAAAGTTTATAGGGTGGGAATGGGAATTACAAAAAAAAAGGGAGCGGGGTCCAAGCTAGGCAGTGGTGGCGCACACCTTTAGTCCCAGTTCTCAGGAGGCAGAGGCAGGCAGATCTCTGTGAGTTTGAGGCCAGCCTGGTCTACAAGAGCTAGTTCCAGGACAGGCTCCAAAGCTACAGAGAAACCTTGTTTTGAAAATTTTAAAAAAAAGAAAAGAAAAAAGAGCCCTTGATTGGTGGGATGTGCCAGTTTACAAATATACTGCGAAGAGACTGAGACCGCATGTCTGCAGTTCTGGGGTCTGGAATGGCCCTGTTTAGGGATGTCGTGCCTGTTGGTTCTGAGACCTCAGAGTCTCTTGCCCTCCGTAAGCTTGTGGGCTGGTGAGGTGGCACAGGGCAGATTATCACAGTGCCCATGAGCCAAGAGAGACCCCAGCTGTGCCCGCCCATTGCTGAACCCTGGGCATGTGTCACTGTCTCCACGTGGCTGCAGTGTTGAGCTTCTGGAGTTCATGGGTTAACTTGAGTGGAGTTTTAGGAGACAAACTTCAGGAAGGTTTACAAAATGGAAGATGCTGGACCAAACCTGAGATGATCTGGATGGCTCCAAGCAAAGATGGTTTGGGACTCGCTCTGCAGAGGCACTGCCTAGCTTCCAGGCCCTGCTCCTGGTCAGGGTGACTCTAGATGCCCGGAGGCCCTCAGAACAATGGTTCCCATCCTTTAATGGGCCAGGCGAGACCTAGAGCAGGGCCCAGCACACATGCAGGTCGTACTCAGTGTGCATGACTCACGAGCCTGGAGTCGATGAGATGGAGGCCGCATCTAGGTCCTGCTATAGTGACCGACTGTTGGGCTTCTCGGTTCTCTAAGGAAGCAGAGGCCAGTTCCAGGCTGCTCCCAAGCTGGGGATTTCCCAGGACCCAGCAATGGTTAACAGGGAGCCCCTTACCCTAAATGCAAAATTCAAAATTATGACAATGCATGGTTTCAGTCCCACCACTTAGGAGGAAGAGGTGGTTGGATCTCTGTGAGTTTAAGACCAGCCTGGTCTACATAGTGAGCTTCCAGACTAGCCAGGGCCACATGGTGGGACCCCGTTTGAAAATGATGATAATGATGATGTTAATTAAGCTGGCTTTTATTGAGCATTTACTGGGTTCTAAACATCCCACGGGGACACCCCATCCTCACTATCCTCAGCAGCCCCGTGAGCCGTGGAATCTCTTGCCTCTTCACACAACTGTCCTCACCCTTGACCTGATTTGTGACGCTTTGCCCTCATTGTGGTGTGAAAGTTCACCCTTCTGGGCCACACCTTTAATCCTGGCACTAGGGGAGGCAGGCAGATCTCTGTGAGTTTGAGGGCAGCCTGGTCTACAAGAGCTAGTTCCATGACAGGCTCCAAAGTTACCGAGAAACCTTGCCTCGAAAAACAAAAGAATAAAAAAAAACAAAAACAAAAAGGAAATTCTCCATTGTGGAGGACAGGACCCACACTTTAAGTTTTGAATCTTATCTACCCTGGGCTATTAAACACTGCAGGCTGGAGTTAGCAACATTGTTGCCAACTGCAGGCTAAGGTCAGCCTTTCCAACACTTTTCACGTGGGCCTGGCTACTCCGCAATGTTTTTCAGGTCAAGCGTGCTCACATGTTCATCTACCATGGATTTATAGGCCCTAAACCCCATGGTAAACTGAGGCGCGCCTACGTTGCAGATCTGATATCCATGGCTCAGAGAGGTGAATTGAATTGCCCAAGGTCACACAGCTTTGCCTGGGACAGACCTATGATGGACTGTTATCTGACTCTCCTATAAACCCCTCTTGGGACCTGGGGTACCTGTGCCTCAGTCTCCCCTGATTGTTGGTGTAGGCTTTGTCTTTCTTGGAGTCTGAAGCTCTAAGATGATGTTCAGGGACTCAAAATGGGAGGGTCCAAGCTTCTCAGAGGACTGAGGCCGCTCAAAGCCCACCCTTCATAAACTCCAGGGCCTAGGGAGGTAGCTACTGGTTTGGAAGTGAAGGACAGGAAATAGGCAGGCGAGTATCGAGACAAATTGGATGTGGCTTCACCTTAAAGTTCAGCCAAGCCCACTCTTGCTATCCCTCATCTGTGTCATGGGGGTCCTGGGAGCTGGGCTTCCCTGGAAGAAGACAGGGGAGTTCATCCAGAGAAGAGCCCACCGCAGTGGCAGCGTAATGGGGTTGATGAACGTCGCTTTCCCCGTAGAACATGCCTGGACCTCAGGAGACGTCACCAGTGATGCAGCTGGTGCTGGGCCCACCTATTTCGGACATGGCTTCCATCGGAGCTGTGGGATCCTATCCTTGCAGAGGGCAGATGTCCCAGGTCCTGGTGTTCCAGGACCAGGCCTGTAAGAGTACACAGATGGCAGGGACTGGCCTGGAGTGGCTGGTGGCCCTGCTTAGTAGAGACTGAGGGACTTCTGTGATGTCTGACTTGTGGGTCAAACTGGTTACTCTGGACAGGCCCAGGGACAGAGCTTCGGGCTCTCCCAAGGAGCCTCATCTTTTTCTGTGCTGAGCAAATGTTCTGCCACTGAGGGGCACCCTCAACCAGGAGGTACGACCCCAGCTCTTGTTTATTTACCTTTCCATCTGAGCTTGTGTTTTTCTGCCTCTACCAATCAAATGCTGGGGTTACAGCTACACATCAGCAGGCCTGCCCATATTTTAAAAAGAAATTATATTAATTTATGTATTTACTTCTTTATATGAGACAGTCTTGCTGTGTTGCCCAGGCTGGTGTTAGACTCTGGGCTCCAGAGATCCTTTGGAATAGCTGGGATGCCCAGAGCTTCCACCTGCTCACTCCCGCCCAGCACCTGCCCACAGCAGGGAAGGGCTCTTGTTCCCTGACTGCCCACAGCGCAGCCTTCTCATCTTCTTGGCCCCTTTGAGCCTGAGCCTCTGTGTCCCCACAGAAGGTTTCCCCTATTTCTTCCTTTCAGGAGCCAGCATCTGTGGCCTTCCATTGGACATCTTTGAACCAATGTCACTCGTTTTACATACAGTGGCAGCTGAGTGTCAGAGGCGGTGTCAGAGGCATATAGCTGCTGAAGGGGGAATGTGGGCCAGCCCTGCCTTCACCCCAGGTCGCCTCTGTGTGCCTGGGATTGTGGGTAGAAAGTAGCCTGGCTCCTTTCTGATTGGCCCTTACCTGCAGATAGGACCCCTGACTTTCAGTCCCTCTGGTACCCCATAAGCTGCCTTGCCCCCAGGAACTGAAGGGTTAACCTCCCACCCCCACTGTTTCAGGAAGTGGTTGAGTCTCTGCCTTCCAGGAACCAAGGGGAGGTAGTGGGTGTTAGGCTGTGTTGGTATCTGTGTCATGGTGATGACACGTACCTTGTACCTCGGCACCGGGGCTTCTTCCTGCATTGCTCTCCCCACAGAAAAGTGGCACCGAGGCAAGGCAGGCCGTGTCTTTTTCCTCTAAGAAGGAACCCTGCTCAGAGGCAAGCGTCTGTCTCAAAGTCACAGCGTCTAAGAGGCAGTGTTTGCACCGCCTCCCATCCGACACCATTGTCTGCTGTTCCTTTCTAAAGGACCTTCACAGTGCCTTTGAGGCGGGTCTTGCCATCCCTGTTGTCTAAGCAAGGTCACAAAGGGCAATGCTGAGAGAGACCAACCAAGGGGAGAGATGGCTCAGTGGTTAAGAACACTTGCTGCTTTTCCAGAGGACCTGAGTTCGGTTCCCAGCACCCATGTCTGGCATCTCACAACCACTTGTAACTTCAGCTCCAGAGGATCGGATGCCTCTAGTCCCTGCAGACACCTGCACTCAGGTGCACAGACCCCCACACAGATACATCATATGAATAATTTAAAATGCCAAGGGTTTTTTTAAAAACCCTTTTTAAAAGGTTTTGTTTTGTTTTTGATTTTCTTTTTGTCTTCTTTTGGTTTTTAGGACAGGGTTTCTCTGTGTAACAGCCCTGGCTATCCTGAAACTCACTCTGTAGACCAGGCTGACCTCAAACTCACAGAGATCCACCTGCCTTTGCCTCCCAAGTACTGGGATTAAAAGTATGTGCCACCACCGCCCAGCAGGGTTTGTTTTGTTTTGAGACTGTAATTACATCATTTCCTCTGTTGCTTTTCTCAAGCCAAATCCCCCCTCCCCCATGCCTCTCCTTGTTCTATTTCAAACTCATGGCCTCTTTTTTCATTAATTGTTGTTTCTGGATAAGGTTGCTTTGTGTGTCTTTTCAGAAACGACTACTGGGCGGTGGATAACCAGTCAGGGTGCTCTTTCCTGGGGACACAATTTCCATTCTCCTTCCTTAGTTGGCTCTAGTTCTTGCCTGGGGGCTGAGGTCCTCCCCTCCACTTTGGCATGTCTATTGATGTTGTCCTTTTTCAGTTCAAATAGGTCACTTTTTTAGTAAAAGACACAAAGACCTGAGGAGAGGCAAAAAATTGTGTGTGGGCAGGGAGGAGACAGATAGATAGATGGGAGGCGGGGGTGGGGGCAGGGGCGGGGGCAGGGAGGAGACAGATAGATGGGGCGGGGGCGGGGGTGAAGGAGAAGCATTAGGGACCAGCAAGCTGCTGTTCTCAGACCAGGGTGGGCTCTTCCACTCAGCCGCTGTTTTGTGAGGGCCACGCCCACTGGTCCATGTGTAACTTTTTCTTTTGAAGTTGTTATTATCTAAAATAGAAACAGTGTGCAGGTGAGAGGTCAGCTGTCAAGGCATCTGCTGGCAAGACTGGCAGCTGTTTGCATCCCTGAACCCATGAGGAGAGAACAGACCCCCATCTGCACACATGGCTTGTGTGTGCGCACAAATACACACACACACACACACACACACACACACACACGTGCGCGCATGCGCTCTGAGGCAGGGCAGGCAGATCTATGAGTTCAAGGCCAGGCTGGTCTACAGAGTGAGTTCCAGGACAGACAGGGATACACAGAGAAACACCATCTTGGGGGGAAAAAAGCAGAACAAAACAAAAACAAAACAACAAAGAAAGAGAATCCCAAACAAAACTACAAAAAAAGGAGATGAAAATCCATTCACTTGCTCTACCTCAATGGATTGTTTTGCCCGCAGATCAATTGTTTTCATTCTTTTTGTTTATTTACTTTTGTTTTTGGAGGCAGGGGTCTTGCTACTGACCTTGGCTGGCTTGGAATTTGCTATATAGGTCATGCTAGTCTTGACCCCACAGTGATCCACCTACCTCTGCCTGCAGAGTGCTGGGACAGAAGGAGCCACCGTGCCTGCTCATTTTTTATTTCCTATTTTCAGGTTTCGGGACTGAATCTGGAGACTCACACATGCTCTCAGCAGGTTCCCAGTGCTGACTTGGCTTTCACAGCCCCTCACCTTCCTCTTTTTTTTTTTTTTTCATGTTTAAAACAGGATCTGCCTCCTGGGTGTTGTGGTTACAGGCACGTGCCGCCATCCCCAGACCCTTTGGGCTTCTTCTTAATTTTGTTTTTATTTGTTTTGAAACAGAATCTCATTAAGCCACGCAGGCTGGCCTTGATCTCACTACGTAGATAGACCTACTTCAAATTTGCAGTCCCCCGCCTCAGTCTCTCAATACTGGGATTATAGTCTTGAGCCTAGTAGAAATAAAACATTTTAGGACTGGAGGGACAGCTCAGTGGCTAAGAGCACTGACTGCTCACCCAGAGAACCAGGGTTTGATTCCCAGCTCCCATGTGGCAGCCTATAGCTATATCTCCAGTTCCAGAGGATCCTGTGGCCTCCTCAGACACTGCACACATATGGTGGGTGCATAGACATGCAAGAAGGCAAAACATTCATACAAACAAAATGAAAATACATAGATTATATAATATGTTATATATATATATATAAATTAATATAATTATATATTAACCACTAAGCATTGTATAGCTCATAGCTATAATCTCAGCGCTCAGGAGGTTGAGGCAGGAGGAGAAAGAAAACAAAATTTAACCAAAAATGCCAGAGAGGTTAGTGACCCGTCTCTGATGGTTGGATGGCATTGCTTGTGTGGATGAGCACAGTGCTTGTCAATGCAGCCAGGTCCCACCTCAAGAGATGCCTGGCCGGGCGGTGGTGGCGCACGCCTTTAATCCCAGCACTCGGGAGGCAGAGGCAGGTGGATCTCTGTGAGTTCGAGGCCAGCCTGGTCTACAAGAGCTAGTTCCAGGACAGGCACCAAAGCTACAGAGAAACCCTGTCTCAAAAAACCAAAAAAAAAAAAAAAAAAAGAGATACCTGATGCCACAGTGCCTGCCCCAGACCAGACCAGCTTTGCCTGTGAGGTCTTCAGCAGGCACAGGGTGATGCCATCCCCGCCTCTCTGCCCCTGTCTCCCCAGGTACCATGCTTCCACGCTTCCTGCTGTTGCTGAGCCTCTTGGGCCCTAGCGACAGCCTCCAGTCGTGGGACATCCAGGAGCACGGAACCAAGGTAGCCTCAGGCCCTGTGCCTCTTCGGGAACGGAGACAAGCAACTGGAGATGATGATTTGGGGGAGTATTATTATTTCCTGGAAGGCACAGAACCCCCAGAAATGCTGATCAATGTCACCAGTGCGGTGGCTGCAAACCCTGAGTCTCCGACCGTGTTGGCCATGCTGGAGCAGAGAGTTTCTGTGGGGGCCGGAACCTCTGAGTCAACTACTGCCGAGGTTACCGCCACCGGCCCTGCTGGTCCAGACTCAGGAGGACTGGCTGTTGAAATAGTGAGTACAGAATCAGCCACAGAGTGGAGGCCAAGCACAGTGGAGATGACCATCCAACCAGCAGCCACGGAGGCAGAGACCTCACAGCCAGCACCCACGGAGGCAGAGACCTCACAGCCAGCACCCACGGAGGCAGAGACCTCACAGCCAGCACCCACGGAGGCAGAGACCTCACAGCCAGCACCCACGGAGGCAGAGACCTCACAGCCAGCACCCACGGAGGCAGAGACCTCACAGCCAGCACCCACGGAGGCAGAGACCTCACAGCCAGCACCCACGGAGGCAGAGACCTCACAGCCAGCACCCACGGAGGCAGAGACCTCACAGCCAGCACCCACGGAGGCAGAGACCTCACAGCCAGCACCCACGGAGGCAGAGACCTCGCAGCTTCCCGGGAGTCAGGTTGTAAAAAGTCTGTTCACAGAGGCCACAGCCACAGAAGCACCTTCTACAGAACCCACTGCCACAGAGACCATGCCCACGGAGTCCACTGCCAGGGAAACCATGTCCACTGACTCTACCATCTTCCTTGGCTCATCTGTGACTCGTAAGGACAATGACGTGGCAACTGGCCACTTGAATGACAATGGCTTGAAGAATGGGCTGTTTGTGACTCCTAGGAGCTCTCTGGCCACAATGACCCCAGGGATCTCGGACCTCATTCCCGTGAAGCAATGCCTGCTGGTCATCCTCATCTTAGCCTCTCTGGCCACCATCTTCCTGGTGTGCACGGTGGTGCTGGCAGTCCGCCTTTCCCGTAAGAACCACATGTACCCGGTGCGGAACTACTCCCCCACTGAGATGATCTGCATCTCATCCTTACTGCCTGAGGGGGGTGAAGGGGCCCCTGTCACAGCCAATGGGGACTTGCCCAAGGTCCAGGACCCGAAGACAGAGCCCAGTGAGGACCGCGATGGGGATGACCTCACCCTGCGCAGCTTCCTCCCTTAGCCTCCCTGGCTACCTGAGCAAGGCCCTTGCTGTACCTCCACCCACTGTTCGCCAAGGCCACAGAGCTGGGCTTCCTAGGTGGACTTTATCCATAGGGATCTTTAGGGAAGGGGCCTGGACCCACCCCAATCAGGGCCCAGAGCCTCCAAAGTCCTGCATCTTCTGCTTCATTCATGGAATCCAGTGGCCTCCAAGCCAAGGACCATGGTAGCAGCTGCTGCTCCTAGATGCCTCTCTCCGACCTGTCTGCTGCTTTTTCTGTTGCCCCAGCCACAATGCCTCCCAGTGCTGTTCATCTTCCTGCAGGTCACTGAAGTCCTGGCTGCACATCCCCAAGAAAGAATGAATTCCCTTACCCCACTCCCAAACCTTCCTCTCAGTTGCCATGGTTGCTGATAAGAAAGGATCTCTGGGAAGGCTGCCCTCTGGCCATGTCTGTTTCTCTACCCGCAGTGAGGGGCAGCTCTTGGCCTTCCCAGGCACCTGTCTGAGGATCCCAGGACCAGGCTTGGGTCTTGTGAACCCCTGAGCTTCTGTCTGGTGACAGTGGCCTCCCATGGTGGCACAGCACAGGCACTCAATAAATGTGTATGACAAATGGTGGCTGAGTCCTTTGTGGGCCCAGGCTGCCACCTCCAGGCAGGGTTCCTGAAGGGCTCTCAGGCCAATCTCTGTCTTCCTCTCAGACAATAGAGATTTTTAGTGCCTCCTTGGGTGACTGCAGGGGACAGCACAATGTAATTGCACATGTCTATGCTCCCAGCACTAGAGAGCTGAGGGGCTGGAGGTCAAGGGCATCCTTGACGTTGTAGCAAGCTTGAGAGCAGCCTGGGGTCCCTGAGACCCTGTCTCTGGCTGGCTGGCTCAGCAGGTAGGGGCGCTTGCAGCCACGCCTGGTGTCGTAAGCTTGACTGGGGCCTACATGGTGGAAGGAGAAAACTGCTCCCCAGAAATTGTCCTCGGACCTCCACACACAATAAACAAACAAAACTGAGCAAATAAACCAACCAGAGAGCTTCATTGAATACACCCTTACCAAGTTTGTCCACATGATCCTGCCCAGAAACCTCTCCCTCCACAGGGTGCCCATCCCCACTAAGGTCTTCTAGCGGATCCTCACGCACTGGCATAGCCCCTGCCATCCAAGACCCTTTCCAGGCTGTCCCTTACCTCCCACCCCTCCCCATGGGCTGTTGCCGAGAGCTTGGGATTAACCAATTTCTTTTCAAGGCTAAGATGGTGAGTATTTCGGCTGTGGGTATCACACCATCTCTACTGCAGCTCCCTACATCGGTTCTCTAAACCATGATGGTGTCGTGTGTGGTGATGATGATGTCACTGTGCTCTGTTATAGGGAGTTGGCTCAGTAGGGAAACCACGTGTCTTAATAACGTGAATTTAATCCCCAGAACCCCCCACCACACACACACAAAAACCAGGCTTGGTGATTCACACTCTGAACCCCAGGCTTGGGGCAGCAGAAACGGGTTGTTCTCTGATCAGCTAATCTGTCCCCCTTGAAAACTCCAGGCCAATAAGAGACAATCTCAAAAGGAAGATAGATAGCTCCAGAAGAACGACGGCTGAGACTGTCCTCTGGCCTCCATGTGCACATGCATACGTGTACACACACATACACTTACACACTCACATACACACACCTACACACATATACCTATACATACCTACACACTCACACCTGTACACACCTACACACATATACCTACACATACCTAACCTACACATATCTACACACTCACACACCTACACACACCTACACACTCACACACCTACACACCTACACACTCACACACCTACACACACCTACATACTCACACATACACATACCTACACACTCACACATACACACACCTACACACATATAAACCTACACTCACATATACACCTACACACACATATACACCTACACATATACCCCCCCACACACACACACAGCAAGCCAACTTGGGTTCTGTAAGTTTGAGCCCTAATTGCAGGGCAGGGTGACACAGGGTCACAAATTTGCTGACTTTCTGATCTTGGCACTAGAGCCTATGTTCTGAAACCCCCCAACTCTAGCAAGTCAGGAGGGCTGCCTGTACATGGGTCACATGAACGGTGGACATGCCCTGCCTCACTCCAACCCCACATGGACCCCTGAGCTCTCACTCTTGACCCACCCCCACGGCCTTTCTTCCCATCATTTCCATAGACAAAAGACAGCTGTTGGGAACACAGCACCAGGGAGGAGGGAAAACACTGTCAGGGACGAAGAGACCTTGACCCACCTGCTCAGGATGTGACCTGCATGCAAGAGGAGGCTGCATCTTGGGAGAGTGGAATAGGAAAGCCATTAGGAGAGCCACAGGGAAAACAGGAAGGAACATGGCAGGGGATGGGCCCCTCGGGGAGAGTAGGGACTGTGGAGAGATGGCCCAGTATCTGGAGGTGCTTCCCTCTGGGCCGCTAGAGGAGGTCAGCTGGTGGGCTGGGCCGGTTGGGGTTCATCTCCCCTGGGTCAAAAAGAGTAGGAAGGAGGATTCGCAGATCCAGCGACGACAGGACTTGAGCTACAGTTCCCTGGGGCCTTCCTGAGGATGCTGTGAAAACGCAGCTGTGGTTTTCTTGCTTGGAATGGGGTTCACCCTGGATGGGAGGAACAGCCACCAGGGGGCGCTGGTCACCTGCTTCTGAAGGGCGATGGTGCGATGAGGGGCTGGACAGCCTCGGGTTATGAGTGTGGATATATACTCTGGTATAGTTGCTGATCAGCTGATTCTCAAAACTTGATACCTGGCCCTTGGGCAAATTCCAGGTGTCCCTTGCACACACTGCCCTGCCCTGTCTCTGTATGCCCCTGATCATACAGAACCTGACTCAGCCAAGGCATCCAGTCGTGATCCACACACGTCTGCAGGATCTCCTGAACCCCTCAAACAGCCTTGCCATTTCACAGAGGAGGAAATGAAGGCTCAGAGACGTGAACTTCCAGCTCCCATTACACAGAGGATGTGGGACTGGAACCCAGGTCCTGCAGCCAGGCTCTTAGCTCTATAGATGATGTCTATAGTGTCACTTAGCTCTATAGTGATTCTATAGACATCAGTCTATTCTCCTCACCACAGTGGGGTTCTGGGGGAATCCTGTGCCCCAAAGTCTCACTCTGCTGACCTTTCTGTCATCTGGAAGTCCCCCTTGTCACCCCCTTGCTCCTTGGAGCAGAGGAAAGGTGACAGAGCAGAACTAGCCCCTCTCTGTAGATATCAGGATGATGCAGTGGGAGGCCCTGCCCGCCTAACCTTTGTCTCTATTGCCTCATTTAGGTCCTAAGGGGACTGCATAATAGGGGGCAGAAATCACAGTGCTGCTGCGGGGAAGGAAGGAGGGGGGCAGGACTGCAGCTTAGAAACCCAGAGCAAACAGGTTGCATTTTGTCAAAGAGCCAGGAGAGGCAGGAAGGGGTCAGGCAGGGAGGAGATTCGGGTCAGGCAGGAAGTGGTGGGCAGGTAGTTGGTAGGCTAAGTTTATGCCCAGTCTCTGCCTCCTCCCTGTGTCAGGTGCTGCCCTCTCCCACCCATCACATGGGTGTTTCTCTTGACAGCAGATCTGGGCAAGAGCTGCAAGAGCTCAGGCTTTTCCTGTCTGCACAAGTCACAAGGTGCCAGAGTGTGCGAGTGTGAGCACGGGTGTGTGTATGAGGGAAGAGAACAAGGCAAAGGGGGGCATCTAGAAGAGGAAGAGCTCTTGCAGGGGTAGGGGCGATTGAGGATGTGGGTGAAGGAGTGGTTGAGACACACCTTGGGATGCTGGAATTAGTGGCAACAGAAGGAAAAGCGAGCTAAGACCTCAGGGTTCTGACATGGGCAGCCATCCTGAAGAGGGGCTGTGGGTAAAGGGCTGGGATGAGGAAGGGAGGGGTCCCTAGTGGGGTTTTAGCTTTGTGGGGTGTGAAGGCCCTTCAGGTGCTTCCCAAGACAAACGCTGTTTGACATCATCAGCTATCAGGGGAAAGCTTAGGGAAACCCCATGAGGGCCACAGCACAGCAAGGCTGAAAGTGAAAAGGACAGCAACATGCAGCTGGTTGGGGAGAGGCCGAGGTGCAGCATAGCTGGTAGAGTTATTATTCATGGCAGCACTCAACTACTGATGAGGATGGGGAGGGGTTGGGGCACTTGCCATGGTTGATGGGGTCCCAGATGCTGCATCTGCTTTGGAGACCAGTTGAACAGATTCCCATATATTTCACCACAGTCACTGTGCACAAGAATGCAAACACATGCTGGTCTGAAGCCATTCACAGGCTGGTAGCTGCCTTGGTCCGACAGCCAGGTTCAGCTGGTGAAGGGTATGTCCATGCGGTGGAATAGCACTCAGCATAAACAAGAGCAGATACCAGCATGCCTACTCACTGAATGGCAGAAGCCAGGCACAGAGGGTGTGTGTAGAGTGTGGATTTGAAGGACATAGTGTCCAGGAAGGGGCCGTAGAGACAGCTTGGCGGTTAAGAGCACCAGCTGCTCTTCCAGAGAGTCTGCGTTTCTTTCCGGATACATGGGAGCTCACAACCACTTGCAATTCCAGCTCCATGGGATCCAATACCCTCTTCTGGTCTTCCTGAGCACTGCATGCATACACATATGCCTATACAGAAACATATTCATCCGCATGTGTAATCTAAAAAATCTAAAACGATTTTTAAAGTTCAGAAGGGCTAGGGAAAGGACTCTGTAAGTAAAGTATTTATCAACAACGCTCAAGGATCTGAGTTTAGATCCCTGAAACCCACATGTTCTATGGTGAGGTGGGCTGTAGAGACAAAAATTCATGGGATAATCTTTTTGTACACTGTTAGGATGTGTCGTTGCCTTCTGATTGGCTTAATAAAGAACTGAATGGCCAATAGCTACACAGGAAGAGGTTAGGTGGGACTTCCTGGAGAAGGAGGAACTCAGGGGGATGAATCTAGCCTGCGAGAGATGTCAGGAAGACAGGGAGGGACCCAGGAAAACAGAATGAACAGAAGGTAAAAAGCCATGTGGCAGTGAAAGACCCTCGACGAGGACCTTTTTTCAGGAGGAGACCTCCCCAACTCCAAGGAACAGGCCGAGACTGCACGGATGCAAATCGCAAGAAGTTTATTGAGTAGACACAGGTACCTGTGGGCGGCAAGATCTCTTGGAAGACTTGTGCGCCTGCCAACTGGAGGGCGGGCTTTTTATAGGGAAGAGCAAAAAGCAAGTTTACAGAAGCAAAAGCGTGGTTATCGGAATGAGGCGGGGGGCATGAATGGTTTCCTCTCTCAGCATGGATGTCTGGCAACAGTCATCCCGTTCCTATCTTATAGATATCCTGTTTTGCAGTCAACCTGCTTTGTTGATGTCCTATCTTATTGATATCCTGCCTTGCAGTCTTCCTATCTCATAGACATCCTGCTCTCTCAAGCACATGAGATGTTCTTAAGCAAACAGGACATTCCCCCGGGAGCATGCTAGCTGCAGGTTTTGAGGAGGGGGTCTGTAGGGTCTTTCAGCAGAATATAGATTAGTATAAACAGGTTAATTTGAGTTGCAAGAGCTAGTTGGGAACAAGCCTAAGCTAAAGGCCAAGCTCCCATAATTGAGGATAAGTCCCAACAAGTACTACAACAGAAGAATCTCCAACACTCATGGGCTCAGCTCTCTGACTGAAGCTGTTTCTGAGCTCTGGATGGATCTGGCCACTGTGCCAACCTCCTGTGCTTGTCCCCACTCTTCTTCTGGAAAATGCCATCTCCCCCATCCTCACTCTGGTGCTGGACGTGAAGATGAGCCTGGGTGCTCAGCAGACCCTCCACCTGCAGGGTGGCTGCCTCTGTGTCTGCTCATGTCAACCAAAGACCACTGTTTTCCTGTTTACCCTCAGGTGGATCACCCCAAGATTCACAGGTTCTCTTTTCTCCAGTTTAGGAAGGGGGCAGACATCGGCCTGAGACCGGCTGGGTGTTTGCAGC